TTATGATCTCAAAATATCTTCCTAAATTATGTTTCAATAATATTGCTCTTTTGATTTTATTTTTTATGAGAACCTTGAAAATAAATAACAAAATCAAGTGTTTTTTTTCTTACAATACGATATCGAAATCATATTATTCATGTTTGATATTGAATGCCTCATTTATTATTTATGTTAATTGTTCGTGTAATTGTTTAATTCGTGTTATGTAAGATATTGTATCATGCCATGGAAAAATTAACCCGATAATTACTTCCTCAGATCCCCCCCCCCCCCCCCCCCCCCCCCCCCACCTCCAAAAAAATTTATCTTGCACAATTATTCAATGGATTATTGATTAAAACATCTGTCATTCTTGTTAACATCTGTCATTATTGATTAAAACACCATTACACTTGAAACAAAAAAATAAAAAAATACTATGCACCCCAAATGGGAACTCAAATGAATAAGGATACTTGAATGAGTGGATCTGGTTAAAAAACAGTTATATTCAATAATTCCTATTGACTAATTATCCGATGAATGAGGCTCACGCTAAATATCTTGCTAACTAAATGTCAGAGAACTGTAGGGCACGCTATGCAAGATCCTCGGTCAAAATAACTTCTGACTGTATTTTTTTTCTCCTTAAAAGGTCACCCTGCTCGGAGAAGAAGACAACAATGTCTAACTGAACAAACGCTCCATATCTTTCAGCATGCATGGAAGCTCAATATTACTGTAGTGAGCAGAAGAAGAAGAAACATAATACAAAATGGAGAGCTTTTACGTTGTCCCTGAAGATGTGGAGAAAGAGATTCTTTCAAGGCTAACAGTGAAATCCTTATTGAGATTTAAGTGCGTCTGCAAATCATGGCATGTTTTGATCGAAAGCCAAACTTTCATAGATTTTCACCTTAGCAAGGCCGCTACAGAGGAAGATAATTGCCTTGTTTTGCATCGTCGGCGCGACTTCACAAAAGAGTACGTCGCCTCTGTACTTTGTACTCAGACATTAAGTTTGTTAGTCGATCTTGAATTCCCATATTTTGAGGATAACAAGATGGGTATATCCATTGTGGGCTCATGCAATGGCTTAGTCTGTTTATGTGATAATGGGCACTTGTTTGCTGTCTTTAACCCTGCTACCAGAGAATTCAAGGCTCTTCCAATACTCCCATCCGCTTCTTTGCTGCCTAATGAAGAATTTGATTTTAAAGCTGCTGCGTTTGGTTACGACCCCATAACTAAGGACTACAAGGTCTTACAAATTTCGTCCATCTTCAATCGCCACCGTTTAGACCACTACCTATTTCAAATATATACATTGAGTACTAATACGTGGAGGGAAATCGATGCTGCCATGCCAGCTTATTTTGATGAGATGTATCCTTTGATCAATACATACAGGAAAGGAGTCCATCACTGGCCTGCTTATGAAGCTATCCTATCATTCGATATAAATCGAGAAGTATTTGGAACAATAAAGCTGCCGACTCCTACACCACCTTGGCATAATCAAACACTCTCACTGTTGAATGGATCTCTTGCTACCATTATTTATCACCTTGAAGCTCGGTGTAAAAGTTTTGACATATGGGTAATGAAAGAATATGGAGTTGAGTCATCTTGGACCAAACAATATACAATTGGACCACTTGCAATCGAGATGCCACTGGGATTTTGGAAAGGTGGCGAGTTATTGATGGAAACTAGAAAAGGAAAATTAATCTTATATGATTTGCATACCCGTAAAACAAAGAGGCTTCTGGGTCATGGACATCCAAGACCATTACAATTTTACACTTATGTGGAGAGTCTAGTTTTAATCAAGAATAAAAATCAGGATGTACCACGATTGCTTGGTCATCAAAACTCTGCCCATTTAATGTAACATTTTTTCCTTTACTTGGTTATTGGGTCAATTTGATTTAAAATGTCCTCTGACCGAGAATATTATTTGAACTTAAAAATTTTATTTAATGATTTGATTTTTTAGAACCATTAGATCAATATTAACTTCTAATGTTTAATAAAGTTCATAATAAATTGAATGAGACTTGATGTTGATCCAATTCCAATAGAGCCATTTTTTTGGAACTTGTATCCATACTGCCTTCCTCTTCTCGCCTCTTTAGTTTGGCCATAAAGTGTACGTGGGTGGTAATATTATAAAAAATGTCTTCCTCTTCTCGCCCTTAATTTCTTTTTATTTGTATATTTTTCCACTGGCAGCCCACGAATCTTAATTTTCTTTTTGGACTCCAAGTAATTACCCGAACACCAAAATAGATAAACTACAGGTTGTAGTCCTTAGAAATGACCAACAAACATCTCAACCACAAAGCATCCTAAAAAAGGAGGCGACTCCTCAATCATGGATAGCAGTAAATTATAGTAAAAAAGGAGCAATAAAAGTTAAGACCTCTGTCTCTTCGACTTCAAGTCATGGCTTGTTCAGTAAATTGTAACCTTGATAAATTAGAAAGGGAAACCACTACTATGTTTAGTTTTGGTATTGCAAGTCTCCACATTACACCCATGGCCGGATCTCTCCTCGTATTGGAAAAACATTACGACTACCAGAAATTTTATATTATTGTGTGAGAAAGGGCCGGTAGCCGAAAAGAAAAATGGCACATTTAAACATATGAAAACTATATATTTATATATATAAACAGCAATCGTCACACTTACAAATAATCCTAAACAGTCACCCAAACCAAACCCACAGAGAGCATAACACCTAACACATCATTCAACTTTATTGGAAGGTATATTCTTGCTTTGAAATAGATTGAAATTCTGAATCTCCTTATCAGAATTCATCACTGTGAAGAAACCACAAAAGGTTAAAACCATAGCAAAAACGTTCGTGGATATAAATTAAAGAAAAAGAATGAAAACTTGAACAAAGAAGAAGGTGGAGAGACAAAATTACTTACTGCACTGCTGGAGAAGGTGACTGTGGAGGAGGTGGAGGTAGCTTAACGCTGTCGGTACTACCAGTGGGAAGGGGGATGGTGCATTTTGAGGCTATAAATTGAGATTGGTATCGAGTATGTTTTTTGGGACAATTTGTGAGCTTCTTTCCCTTGTCTAAGCAGAAGAAGACCTGGAACAATTGTTTCGCACCGCTTGGGTCTTGGTTACATTCAAGTTGAGGAACATAATAAGTTCCTCTATCAATGGCTTGTGCAATATTCTGAGCAGAATAAAAGTCCGAGAAAGAGGGTTTGATGCCTATTAAAAAAAAAATTTAGTACCAATCACAAAAACTTGTATATACATATAACAACATTCATATGGCGTATGTGTGCGTATATATCTATTTTGAAATTGTAAGCATGGTAACTGGTTCATTGAACTATTAATAGATAGTAGTAACCATGTGATATAATGATAAATAGAAAAAACTGAGAAATTAAATGAAACACCTTTGTCAGCTAAGCTTTTGTCTATGTCAATTTGTTGCTTGAGGGTAAGAATCTCCTTGAAATATTCAAAGACACTCATTCCACTGCATTTTCCATGCTTGTTCCACTGGTGCCTCCAGTGAATTTCATCATCACGATCCAATCCAGGCATGTCAAATTTCAATTGTTTTTCAATTGGGTTTAGCTGCAAAATTATTTGATTAAAATGTATAAGATATTCAATGGAATAAGCATAAGAATAGACTTCCAACACATAATCAATAAATTGAAAATAAAAATTTACACGGGAGATACGATACCAAGCTGCGATCAAAAGCAGGTCCATTATGGCAATTGACAACAATATTTGACTTGGAGTCATAGCCCCATAGACCATGAATGGTGAACTGTTGTGGAATAGGAGTGTTGCATTGGGTGTTCTGGCAGAAAGTATTGGGCCAAACCAGCACAAGCTTGTATCCAAATATTGGATTCTCAGTGGATGGTACAAGAAAGAACTCTAGCACAAGTAAGAAAAATAATTTTCTTCCCATGATGCTAAAGAAATGTAATTGGCGCAAGAGAATGAGATTGCAATCTCTCATGTTGTTTATATAGGAATTTGGCACCATGCACATGCACCTTCACCTGCCAACTCCCAACTACTGAATGCATTCTTCTGGAAAAAAAAAATGCATGCATTCTTCTGACTGTGACCTAGGGTGAAAAGAGACCAAGAATTGAAGTGGAAGTGTGGAATCAAGTGGTTGGGTCAATAAAATTCAAATCTTTATTTTTCATGAATATGAACAAGAATAAGAAACAAACCCATTCCCCCAACCAACAACACTCCCTTCTCTATTCTACTGGTCCCGGATCAACATAATCCAACTCAATCAGCACCTTTGATTCTATTTTTCCTGATAGAAAAAATAAATTATTACAGTCTTGAACGACAATACTTGTGGCATTACCATTAGAGAAATACAGAATGAGAACTGGTACAAGAAGAATTGTGTCAAACAGATCCTTGATTTCTTGTCATTCCTAGAAATCATTGTGCAGGGTAATTTTGATTTGCAAATTCTTAAAGATAGTTGTTCTCTGTGATTAACTAGATATAATAAGCATAAAATTTATTTTGTCAAAGTAATTTAAAAAGCTTTGTGAGAAGGAAGGTGCATTTAAAATTAATTATAAACTGAACATGATAATACTTGACTAAACTAGTGTCTGAGACTGAGCAAGAAAGCAAACAAAGAAAATGGATATATAATTTTGTGATTATTTATTAGTGGCTCTAATAATCTACGGAGAGTAAATATCCCAGTGACATTTCTTCTTCTCTCATATGCTTAATTTGTGAATATAAAACACATTTATGATTTTTATCAAATGTAAACTTTTGTTCATTTCTTAGAGGGGAAAACAATACCAATTTCATCGACAGTTTTGTAGGATGAACTTAGTAAAGCTCTAATCTTTAACCTTCTTTTTTTTCCAAAATCACATACTAAAAACGTAATTGAATTATTGTTGAACAACAACTATCAAAGAGCCTTGATATACCAGCAGAATGATAGTACCTATAGTTGCCTTTTGTTTTGGGGTTGATGAGTTGGCAGTCCCTTTTTGTGTGCCTATATGAAACCTAACTTTAGGGTTGAGAGCCATAAAATGAGGTAGGGATGGAAAAACCCCCCTAATTCGTCTATCATGTCCTTCACCATTCTCATAATTCTGGCTTCTATATATAAACAATTCCCGGAGTAGTAACCATGTGCATACCAAAACCATTGCATTCTAAATCAACATGTGATGATTAAATTAATGAATAACAATAAATTTTTCCTAATGATACCAACTAATTCCAATATCAACATTGATTTGATATGTACAAACTTGAGAAAATTTTTGAAAAGTTTATTAGAGTTATTACCGTAGAACTCATTTCTATGAACAATTTAATGGCAATATTGTATAGTTTTGTCAAAACTAAGAAGATTATTTAAGACAGAAGAAGGACAAACTTGGAGAACTATTAAGTAGTTTTATAACCAAGTGATACTTCATACTTTCAAATCTAGGAATTAGTTCTTCTAAAAAGAGATTAATAATATGAACAATATTATTAGAACCTAATTTATTGATTTAATTTACTATAACTATTGAATTGATTGTGGGCCCTATTAAACATTAGAATTTTGTGTTATTCCAATGGTTACAATGAAATCATATCATTATGTCAATAAACTGTATCGAATTTTTAGGTATAAATAGCATTATTCTAATAATAATTATCTATCACTTACTTTTGGTGTACTTCATTATATACAAGTAATTTATCCACCATATAATCCTTATTATACTCCCTTAACAGCTAAATTTAAGTTAGGACGTTTCTTATGCCGTGGATAGGAAGCAGGTAATAAGTACCACAAGAAGTCACCTTAGAATTGACAGAGAGTAGGTTATTGTTTCCTTTTTTTCTTTCTATTTGTTGTCTTGGGACGAGCTTCACACATATATCAGTAATTTATATGGACAACTATCAAGAAATTTGTCATAAGAACACTACTTTACATCCAAAAAGGAACAAAAAATATTACTAATTTCCTGCTACTGTAGCAAAAGAAGGGTTTGCAAATGATGTACTAATGAAGAAATTGGTTATGATATCTTCAATCAAAAAAGGAACAAAAGATATTAGCAAGTTCCTGTCACTACCAAATTAGGGTTTGAAAATAATGTAAGAATATGGCGTTCACATCTCATATTTGGACCGTGAATGTCATAATTTACATCTCTATTTGTCATTAACATGAACAAAAAAATACTGAACAAACCCCAATCCCCATCCACCCACCCAAAAAAAAAACAAGGAAAAAAAAGGGAAAAAGAGTAAATATAGCAATCTTGAAATGACACGTAGAAAAAATCTCAGTTAGCCTTTGTAGAGGTGGTGGAGTGAACAGGTATCCAGATTTTGTGTTGGTGTTACATCATAACATTAATGTTAAATATTAAAAAAATAGTTAAATTGAATCCAATACTTTTAAGTTATACTACTTGGGACTCTGTGATGCACAATATATTTTCAATCTCTCATATCATAATCCTACTGTTAGTGTCGCCATTGTCGCCCCCACCCCTTATTGCAACTCCTCATCCTACCCTCACCTCGACCTGACTTTAGTATTATTAAAAAAATTACTTATTATTGTGTTAAATTAAAGAGGATAAAAATTTAAATTTTAAAGTACTTTTGATGAGGAAAGGTAATAGGAAGTTTGAACGGTATTTGCAGTTTAATCACAGTAAGTTTATGAAGAATGAGTATTGATAAAGAGAGTTAGAGATTATCATTTGTAAATTAAAATATATTTAAAAAATATAAAAATTAGTATTCAAGATTTGTAGCTTATACAACCAAATACAATTAGACTAGATGGACCCGTGCAATGCACAACCTAGGGTAAAAATAAAATCAAGCAAATTAATCACTATCATATGTACATTTTTTTTAATGTTTAGGACTATATCCTTTCAATAGTGGGTATGAAATGTATCACCATAGTTACCATGAATATGTACAATATTTGTGAACTTTTTGAGTATGTTACATATTTAGTTTCAATTTAAATTTTTTTCTTGGTAATATATTAAAACTTACAATTATATTAATAAATTGGATAAAATGATTTTTAAAAATATTAGTAAAAATATATTGTATGAAATGCTACATATTTAATTAATTTTTAATTTTTAATTTATATTATACCTAAATATATTTATCTCCATATAAAATTAATGTGATATAATTTTAAAGAATGTGATATTTTTATTTTTATATCATACACATATCATATTGTATTATCATATTATATGTATATCATTTGTTAACATTAATGTTTAGAAGTATATATGTTGAACAATGGTCTAAAATGTGTCACTAATTATAATGAATATTAGTCATAATCCGTGTTTGAAGACACGATAAAACATAAAATTTGAGCCCTAAAAAGTGGATCTCACTATATTAAATAACAATTTTTCTTTCCTTTATTTCTTTGATTATATCATTCAAAATTTTTTTTTACCCATTATTTTCTTAAAAATATTGACAAAATTTTCTCAAAATACATAATTCGATAAAATTTCTCAACATATGTATACTATCGTATATAAATAATATCTGAAATAAGATTTATGTTAAACTATAATTAATCAAATATTAAACAATTAAACATGTGACGGAAATGAGTAATGTGGTGATTTTGGAGGAAAAACATATAGATGATAAAATGCAACTTATTATGTGTTTTATTATATAAATGTACAACATTTATTAGAAATTTTTTCCAAGTTACATATTTAATTAGTTTTATATATTTTTTTTTTTTATGTTGCAAGGACATGTTTGGTAATATATTAATAGCATTACTAAAAAAAATAATAATTTAGGAATATAATGAAACGTGACCATTTGATTTAGAATGGAGTAATTAATATTGGGATTCACTGATAGTCTAATGGCGACATTGATTATGATCTCAAAATATCTTCCTAAATTATGTTTCAATAATATTGCTCTTTTGATTTTATTTTTTATGAGAACCTTGAAAATAAATAACAAAATCAAGTATTTTTTTCTTACAATACGGTATCGAAATCATATTATTCATGTTTGATATTGAATGCCTCATTTATTATTTATGTTAATTGATCGTATAATTGTTTAATTCGTGTTATGTAAGATATTGTATCATGCCATGGAAAAATTAACCCGATAATTACTTCCTCAGATCCCCCCCCCCTCCAAAAAAATTTATCTTGCACAATTATTCAATGGATTATTGATTAAAACATCTGTCATTCTTGTTAATTTTTTCTTCCGAATATCTTGACAAATAATTTAATTATATTTAAAAATAAAAATAATTTTACCTTTGAAATTTAGCGGTTTATTAATGAAATTCTTGGAAGATTTACCTATTATTTTAAAAGTATTTTTTTTTGTTGATTTTAGTATTCGTTAACCAGCACTTAGTTGCTTTTTTTTTTTTCTTATTAAAATTTTCTCTTTTACAAGTTTAGTAGTATGTATAAACTATTACATTATACGGTCACCATTACACTTGAAACAAAAAAATAAAAAAATACTATGCACCCCAAATGGGAACTCAAATGAATAAGGATACTTGAATGAGTGGATCTGGTTAAAAAACAGTTATATTCAATAATTCCTATTGACTAATTATCCGAGGAATGAGGCTCACGCTAAATATCTTGCTAACTAAATGTCAGAGAACTGTAGGGCACGCTATGCAAGATCCTCGGCCAAAATAACTTATGACTGTATTTTTTTTCTCCTTAAAAGGTCACCCTGCTCGGAGAAGAAGACAACAATGTCTAACTGAACAAACGCTCCATATCTTTCAGCATGCATGGAAGCTCAATATTACTGTAGTGAGCAGAAGAAGAAGAAACATAATACAAAATGGAGAGCTTTTACGTTGTCCCTGAAGATGTGGAGAAAGAGATTCTTTCAAGG